TAATTAGTTTTTTTGTTTCAAAAACTAGTGTTTAGTCCCTATTTTCTGAAATCTACTTTTAATTTAGTCTCTTTTTTGTTCATTTTTAATTTATTTTGATTTTAAAAAAAATAAAAAAAAGAAGAAAATATGAAAAAATATGGAAAGATTGATGAGAAAATAAAAGATTTTGTAGAATAAAAATAATATTAAATTAAGCACGATCAACACTAATTAAAAGATTAAATAATATTTTTAAAAACTAAACGGATTAATTAATTATTTCTTAAAACTATACGGACTAATTTATAATTTATTATTTTTTAAGCATTTTTGGATGACCTTGAAGACCTAAAAAAAAAAATCGAATTCAATGCACTTTGAACACAAATATATTTTTCAAAGAGGAAAATAATTTATAAAGTAATTTTCTCACTAAACTTCTGTAAAAACTGATATACATATGCATAAATGATAAAAATGTGGATTTTATGAATTTTAAATGATTCATCAAAAAAAAATATATCAAATATGTATGTATGAAAAATTATTTATGTAACATATTTTTTAAATAATATTTGCACCATATAACTAAACACGTACTTAATATGCTGCGATCGTGTTGGGAAAGTGCATATCCTTGTTTATTAATATTTACACACTTTGGAGTCTGGTCAATGTCGCAGTTAGACTGGCTTCCTATTTCGCCCTAAAGTCATGACTAGTCGGCCCATAAAAGATACGGGCGGCATGTCTAAAAGTAATTACCATAATTCTGGACAACAAAAGGGCAGGGAGAAAAGAAAAAATTGACTTTTTCATGGAAACTGGAAACTTGGGTTGGCTGTAAAAGTGAAATATGGTCAATGAAATGGTTTAGTATTGTTTTCTTTTTTGTCGCAAATAGCACTACAGATTTTCACTGACATTGCATGATCTAAAGCCATAAATTCAGTTCATGTTGGGCATTGGAGTTTAATTAATTTCAATTTCATGAATAATGTTTTGGTAAATAATCAACGTTGATTTGACCTTTTGATGAAGAAATCTTGTAAACTTTATATGATTCGGGATGAAATTCCAACCCTTGCTCTATTATATTATATATAGCCAAATGCATAGTAGAAGTATGGTTGACTGAAACAACTGAAATAGTTTTTTTTTTTCCCTCCTGATGTACTTAAATTGATAACAGTCAATTATTTGTATGTACGGACCAGGGGGTAAATATTCTTCTCCAAATTTAATATATTAGTCTCTCTTTTTTTGGTATTGTAATATATTAGCCATTAAGTTTATACATTTGAGCAAGAGAGAGTTATCTACCTTTAATTAATAAATAAAATAATTGCATTAAAAAAGGATAATTACAATATTAATAAAATATTTTTGTTTATTAAATATAATTTTATATTGGAAGGCACTCTTACTATATATAAAAAAAAACCCAATATTAGAAAATAAAAATATGATGAAATGATTTCATTGGCATAATAAAAAACAATCAATGTCTTTAAATAATAAAAATTAAAGTTCACCTACTCAATTAAGATAAAATAAAAATTAATGTAACAACAACGAGTTAAGATTTAAAAATACTTAATCATATATCAAGAACAATTAACAAATATAAATAAAAATATTTGATTGAACTCAATTAAGGAAACTTGCGGTGTACTAATAATGCAATCATACCATAAAATTAGTTTATGAATTTACAAAATTTTGAGTATGAAAGGTACCTTAAAATAATCAGACCTTAAAAGTCAAAACAACCACTTCCAACCAACTGACCGAGAATTAAGAAGAAATAATGATTTTACACTGCAAAGCTGGTTTGATGAAGAAAAACGGGGCACGAATCAAATTATCTAAATCTGTTACTTCAATTCCTAAGTTGTTAGGCAATGACTTAACGGCTATAACAAAGTAGGTTGAAAGCTGAGGTCGAAAAATCTGCGTAGGACACGGGTTCCACGTTATTGGTATCATTTTCACACACATATTTTATTGTTTTTTATCTTCTTCAACAAGGGAGAGGTCAGAGTCAGAGCCCAGTGGGCTTGGTTCCAGTATAGCACGGTTTAATTGTGTATTTGGTCCTGTACTCTTAATGTTTTCTTCAATTCAGCCCTTCTACTTTTCTTATTTAATCAATCTTTCAACTCCGAAAATATTCTTCATATAGTCCCTTGGTCCATCTTCCATTAATTTTAACATTCTCTTTTTACTGTTAACTGAAACTGTTTAATTAAATAAGCCGAGCTATATGTTTTGTTTAAAGTAAATTCTTACAAACTCTTCGCATCATTTACAATTTTTACAGTATAGAAGTATTTATAAATCATATATTTAGTATTAAAATGTTTATCAATCAACAACGTCAATCAACTTCATACACATGTCCAGTTCTACCTAACAATTTTTTTTCTTATTTTTTGGCTTCCACAAATAAATTTTTTGTGAGAATATTGAACAGTAAATTATAAGATTACTAACTATTGTTTCAATAATGTGAAAAACCAAAATGACACGAGTAGGTAGTTAATTAACGCTCATTACTTTTGCAGAAGTTTGATGGTAGAATCGATGAGAACAATGAATCACTAAAGGTCCACCATTTAAGAGAAAATATTTCTGATATATCGAGAAATGGAAAATACTTAGCGACATCATATTGATAGACATCATTTTTAAAAATAAAAATGATTTAAGAATAAATTTAGAAAGTGAAAATATTAAATGACATAATATCAATTGAAATAAAGTATTTTTTTTTGTATTCTTTTAAAAAAATATTATTTTTATAAAATTATGGTGATTTTTTTTTTACACTATTAATGTCATGTAGCACTAATCATTGAGAAATATGAGGGGATCATGCTACTCCAAAAAGGAAATGCATACTTCTAGTTCCATCCCAACAAAAATATCACAATTCAACAGGAACTTTACTATTCCAGACTCTAGCTAAAAAAGAACATAATAAATAGATAAAATCTCAAAATTATTCTTTGATAATATTGAGTTTGAACTAATTTGATCTAAAAAAATGTTTATTGATTAATCAAAATTTAAATATGTTCTAATACTAATTTACTTTAAAAATAATGAATTTAATTTTCATTTATATAAAAAATAATTTCATAATACTCTCCTACTTGTAAATATTAAATGAAAAAAAAAAGATAGATAAAATCTCAAAATTAATTTTTATACTTTAATATATATTCTGGGAATAAACAAAAAATATATAGGTAGATACATCGTACTGTTTTCTCAAACATTTGACAGTTTAAACCATATATTTTACATAATTTTCAATACAAGAAAAAGGATCTTACTTTTGTCTTCAAGGTTTTATTCTCAAATTACTCTAAAACGTCCTACAAATTCACTGAACCATGACATTTGCTTTGCTCATTATTTTATAAGTACTATTATTCCAAATAATAGTAATAATTAATGATATAAATCTAATTGATTTCACATAAATAGCAGTAGGGATAAACTCTTCGTGGCAGTAAAACCTTAAATAAAGTGTCAATATAGCTACGAGATTTTAGTTTTTTTTTAATCTAATAATAAATTCATTATCGAATCAATATGTATCAATGGAGATCTTTCATTGAAGAAAATAACAGGACAGAAAGTATAATTTTTCTGTTGTGAAAACAAAAATAATTAAGTAAACGTTTACAGGCAAACGTAGGTAGGATATCTTTTTCTGCTGTCAGTGTCAATTAAGTAAATAATTACACATCACCATCCAGGTTAATCTCAACTGTAGAATCCGCATGGGGGGTATTTCGGCCAGGTTAAATCCTACTAATCTCTACTCTTGGAAAGATAAAGAAAAACAAAAAATGCCGGAGTACCATTATTGCACTTACAACCAAGTAGGAATGGTAAAATGACTCGAATCGAGATCGCCTCGCCCCACCCCGCTTCGATCAATGTGAAGATTCTCTGCATTGATTGGGGAACGGGGCTAGGCTTCCCGTTTTGTAATTTTTTTGGACGAGGATGGGGTGGGGATGGGATTTGCCCACTCTGTCTCGTTTTATCCCGTCAATAATGACTTATAGTAGAGTTTGTGTGATTTGATCTCTTGTTTAGAAAACAAAATTATGTAAATTGTGTGTGCTCATTATAAAATTTATCAAAATGAGGTAAAATGGGACAAGACTAGGCTGACACAAACAGTAAAACGAGGCTCTATTTGTCTCGCGAGGATCCCCGTCCCTTTTTGAGGCGGGAATGAGTTAACAAATTCTGCCTCTTTCAAGGCACGGGCAGGAATGGGAAATTTTTTAAGGAGGCGGGGCATCCCCGCCCCATTGCCATCCCTACAACCAATAAACAGAACATTGTCCGCGGCATTCTGTATTGGCTGTTAAAACTCTACATTTCATCTAATAATTGAACTTCACAGTGACAAATTGAATATCAGAGAACTTTTCATAAGCTGTATATCAAATTTGCGTACAATACAGGAAGAGATATAGTTTCTCGATGCTGCTTTAATTTTCTAGAATAAAATATTGGAAGAAGCTTCCATATTTAATGCAGCAGTTTTATCTTTTACACTGAAACAAAATCGGCACTTTGTGCAGATTAAAAGGAAATAAAACACATTTGAGGCTCTCTCTCAAATCTTTATTTTGCACTCTGAACGAGTCACTGAAAAAAATTCAACTCTTTCAATGCGTATATAAATAGAGCCCGATCAAAGTTGTCAGAAACAGCAAATCCTCCAATTCTCCAAATGACCAAAATTTTCTCTACCCGAAAAAAGAAAAGAAAAGAAAAGATCAATTGGATGTAGAATTAAGGCTTAATCGACTCTACCGTATTCAGGAAATTAGCTAGATTTTAAAGAGAACAATCCCATTACTAAACATAACTTAGTATAGTCAAATTGTCGTTGAAAATAATTATGATAATAATAATACTAATGATAAATAAAATATATATAATAGATAGTAATTACCGGGAGAAAAAATAATGATTGTATATGATTAATAATCCCAAATGGAGTCATGCTCCATTTCTCTCCATTGATCACTGAACTCTACATCAATATGATTACCCATAATCATAGGTTCATCCAACAGAAGAGCCCCAGCTAACTCCATCCACATTTTTGGTGAGTCCAATGGTGCCTCATTTATAGCTTGAATTTGACTTGGTGACAACCCAACCCTAACAGGACCTAAACTAGCACCGCCACTGCTGCTAGAGCTGCCACTTGCTACCTCCGAACATTTTTTCTGTCTCCGAAAAAGCGAAGCTGCTTCTTGTGCTGCCATTTGCACATCCTCCGTGCTAGAGCTCGCTGGCCGGGGCAAACTATCCACCATTTCAGGAAAATTTAGTTGCGCCTCACGTCCTCTAAGGTGCAATGCTGCCACATCATATGCGGCCGCGGCCATTTCAGGCATCTCATGACTCCCAAGCCAAATTCTTGTTTTCTTACCTGGCTCCCGGATTTCGGACACCCATTTCCCCCATTTTCTCTGTCGTACTCCTTTATATCTTGGCGGACTAATCCCAACATGGCCGTCCCCTGTTCTTCCTTCCATTGTAGCGAGTAGAACAAATTAGAGGTTTTGTCTAACGATGAATGGTACTGTGGCAATGTAGCAGCTAGTGCAATATTAATGATTGCAGAGCAGTGTCGGCTTTGGCAGCTGAGAGAGTAACATAAGAGGGTGTGCTCATCTATAAATAGATGTGACATCTCATGGGAATTATTCGTATGGGAGGAGAAGGGAGTTTCCTAGTGGTTACGTGTAAGTGCGGGAGAGGCTGGCAATGCGTGCATATGCTCATTTTTCTTGGGTTTTGAATGACAAAATCATATTCCTGTATGCATTGCTTCATTTTATAATTTATTCAAATATTATCATGGTCAGCCTAGAACAACTACTTACATATTCATAAATTAGATTAAAAAAAAAAACAGCTACGTGCTTAAATATATATGGTCTGTATAATAATTATAACAAAATGATAGATACTGGTATTATTTGTTCTATTGTGCGTGGACCTTCTATTTGAGTATTGAATTTCTTTTTCTTTTTCTTTTCTAAATGTAGATAATTAATCAGATACTATTATATACCTGGATATGCTTGAAGCATTTCATACCGTACGTACTTAGTTCGTCTTTCCATGTTAAGGCTACCACACCTGTAAAATGAATGAATTTTCTAGGACAGAACCAGCCCCCTGTTTTCTTTTTTATATATATTAGTCGTTTGCCAGCGCCACATCACAAATCCGATCGAAAGAAAATTATTTTAAATTTTTAAATTTTTTTAATTATAATTTTTTATTTCATTGATTTTTTAATATTTTTTACAAATTTTTTATTAAAAAAAATTATTCTTCTTTACGAATTGGTTTTAAAATTAAAAAATATAATAATTTTAACAAAAATATTAATCAAGAATTAAAAAAATTTTAAATATAATTTTTTTAATATTGTATTCCAAAAAATAAAATTATAATTAATGGACAAACTTTAAAAAAAATTTTAAAAATTATTTAATGTTGATGAGAAGATTAATTTTTGAAATTATTTGCACAACTCTACGGCCAAATAGAACAAAATCATTTAAATTTTTTACATTTTTTTCATTATTTTTTATTTAATTATTACCTTTTTGTGTTTTTTTTTATAAAATTTCTGCTTAAAAAAAGCATAATTTATTCTTCTTTATTCAAGGATTGTTAAATCAAAACTTATAATAATTTAAATCTGAAATATTAATTAAGAATTCAAAAGCAAATACTTTAAAATTATTTTTTTATATATAAGAATGTATCCAAAAAAATAAAGTTACAATTAATGTATAGGCTTGCATAAAAATTAATCAATGAAAAAATAAAAATTTATTCTTATTTAATGTTGGTGAGAAGATTATTTTTTTCAAGTATATGCATTAGATCTCTATATATTTATTTACAAAACAATCAACAAAATTAGCATAAAAAAATATATTTAAATAATTGTTTGGTTACTTTAAAAAATGTATTTTAATTATTTTATTTTAAATAAATTGGTTCTATAATGTTACAAAAAATATAATAGTAAATAATTTGCATTATGTTAGAAGATTTATAGTTAATTTTTAATAAAATCAATGATTCAATAGTTGTTTTTAATATGTCTTGACCATATATTGTGAATCGAGATAAATTATTTTAAATACACTTATAATCTTTCAGAATAAAATAATTATATATTTATGTATGCGCAACTATCATTTAAAAATGATAAGAATTCATGATATATATTATACCAATTTTTTTTAAAAAAAGAAAAACAATCATGTTTTAAATTTTTATTCTAAAATTCAAACATAAAGAAAAATAAATTATATTTATCGAGTAAATAAAATTGTATATAAAAAATATTAATTGGATGAGAATTTCATAAAAAAAATGATAAATTCAAAGAATAAAATTTAATTTATAAGAGTAATATAAGCCGAAGTATATTTTAATTTTAAAATATAAAAAGATAATGTGTGTGTGTGTGTGTGCGCGCGCGCTGCATGAAAATGAAAGAAAAATAAAAACTAAAGATTAAAAAAAAAAATGTTACAACATGAGGCACGAAAAATAAGAAAAAATGTTAAATTTGCATATTAATGCCCAAAAGCACACAAAAATTACTTAAATTGCGATCAAGTGAATAGTAATTTTACGCATATGAACCGTAAGTGAATAAGAATTTTAGATATAAGAATAGTTTGGATTCTCGCACTACATTGCAAACCAATATAAATATATTTATTTTAGTTGGATAACATATACCATTTATCAGTTAATTACAATTTATTAAATTAAATATAAAAGATGAAATTTCATCTAATTTTATAATTTTTAGTCAAAATTTGTGTGTGTGTGTGTGTGTGTGTGAGTGTGTATGTTTTGAATAAATTTTGAAGTAAAAAAAAAAATATGATTTTGTTCTTTCTTGCGCATTTATTCTTAAATAAAACTCATAATAAAAAATTTTAATATAAAATTAAAAAAAAATCTTATATTTTTTCATTACATTGCATCGAAGAAATAAAGCAACAATTAATACAAAAACTTGTATGAAAATTAACAAATGAAACTTTTTTACTTTTAAGAAGATTATTTTTTAAAAAATATCTACATTTATTTATTTATAAAATAATGAATAATATTAGTATAAAAATTGTATTTGAATTTTTAAGAGGTTATTCTAAAATATTATTTCAGTTATTGTATTTGAAAAAATCATTTTAAATATTAAAAAATAATAAAAAATGGTTAGTATTATGTGTAGATGCATAGTTGATTTCTAATAAAATCAATGACTCTAATGTTATTATTTTTTATACATCATGATCATACTCAATAGGTGAGAATGTATAAAATAAGTTGAAAAATATTTTTAAAAAATTAAATGATAAAATATATATTGAAGTTAATACGAGTGCGAGTAAAAACTATAAAACTGATTTCGATAAAATTTGATTATGTAAAAAATAAGAAAATAAATTACATATATTTAATTTTTAATTTTTGATTATATAAAAATTAAGTAAATAAAAACAGGTATAAAAAAAAACTTATTTGAATCAATACATAGAGAAAATGAGTCATATTTATCAATAAATAAACTTATTAAAAAAAAATTAACTTGATGAGAATTTTTATCGAAAAAATCAATTTTAAACTATAAAGAGTAGTTTATATTTGTTCTAAAATCTAAAAAAATATCATATAAATGTAAAAAATGTCGTGTATATTATATAATCGTCAATTTGTGTGGAAAAAAAATAACGATTGATTTTTAAAAATTTTAACATCTGATTAAATAAAATAAAAACATAAATTGATGAAAAAAACAAAAGAAAAAGGCAAAAGAAAAAAAAAGGCATGAGTGGTATTATATAATCATCGGTTTGTGTGAAAAAAAAAAGTAATTATTGATTTTTTGAAATTTTAACACCTAATTAAATAAAAAAAGAACATAAATTGATGGAAAAAAGTATGAGTAGTGCATTAGTTAGGGGATTAAATTTTGTATTTTAAATTTTTAGAGACCAAAATCAAAACAACTCTGAAAATTAAGAAAATAATAAATTTTTTTAAAAAAAGAACCTAAAGTGATGGAAAAAAGCAAAGGGAAAAAAAGAAAAGAAAAGGCATGTATAGTGAAAGAACTTGAAAAATAATATCGTAATAAAATTTAAAAACATATCGTATAAATATAAAAAATATCATATATATTATATAATCATCATTTTGTGTAAAAAAATAATAATAACGATTGATTTTTTAAAATTTTTAACACCTAATTAAATAAAAAAAAGGAAAAAAGCCAAGGAAAAAAAAAGGTAGGAGTACTGCATCAATTAGGAGATTAAAATTTTAGAGAAAAAAATAAAATAATCTGAAAATAAAAAATTACATAAAAAAAAAAACCTAAATTGATGGAAAAACAAAGGAGAAAAAAAGAAAAAGCATTTATTCACAACTTGGAACCAAAAGAAAATGAACAGTGTCAGAACAAAAAAAAAAAAAAAGATGAATAGGGTTGTGAGTAGTCACAACTCCATTTCTTTTAGAATCTTCTATAATAATATACACACTATTTTTTAAAAGGAATTACATATTAAACATAGACAACAGATTTTCTGGACTTGCCCAAATTTAAGTTTAATTTTTTCACAATTTTTTAGAAACTTGGAAGGCATACTTTTCTCTTTCTTAATCTCTGTTTGTCCTAAATTACATATACTATAGGTTATTTTCCCATTAAATATTATTCCAGTTAAAAATGCATAGTCAAAGGATGATAAAAGCATGCTAGCATTTCTTTCTCTCTCTGTTTTTTTTTTTTTTTTTCCTTTCTTCCTTAATTTGGACAAGGTATTCCAATGTCCCAAGTGTCAATGCATAGGTTTCAAGAAGCATAGAAACAAATATAAGATAAAGTATGACAAGATATGCATACGTTTATGAGTCAATTTCTTAAAATTTAAAGGATACAAGTATGACACGATACACATTACTTGATGCGTCAACTTCTCAAAATTTAGAATAGATACATTTCAGAATATTTATTTTGAAAGATATAGAAAACAAGTATAAAAAATAATTTTTCGAAATAAATGTATGTAATAAAATTTTAGTTTTAATGCCAGTAGTAAAAATGTTAAGTCTCATTTTTTTTTCTTTAACCACACTCATCAAGTGTGTATATACTATTCATGTAAAGCATATTAAATTAGTTTGATACAATAAAATTGAATATGCACACAATCACCACATTTATATAATTTATACATCTCTTGAAGTTCAAGGCCAGGATGATTTTTATGATAACACCTGAAGATATGAATACGGTAATTATTTTAGTTATAAACTGGGTTTTGAAATTATAACAATTATCAAAAAGTTTATAGTTAAATGATAATAATTTCTTATAAGAGATCATAAATTTAAATCCTAATAAATTAATTCTATTAAAAATCTTAGGTGTGTGAGTTGAGTTGGGTGTACGAGTTATTTAAAAAAAATAATAAAACAGTCC